TTAGTCTTTCCCCCACTATACTCTTTATTCTCCTCACCTCTCCTTTGAAGGCCTCTCCTCCCCCATGGTCCCTCTTCTACTTTCATAGCATATATATGTGATAATGAAATGAATGGATAGATAGATAGATAGATAGATAGATAGATAGATAGATAGATAGATTCCATGTATGATAGAAAGTAAACATTTGTCTTTCTGATACTGGATTATCTGTCATGTGGTCCCCTTGCACTCATGTTCCTACAAATTACATAATTTTTTCTTCTTTGTGTCTAAATAAAATTCTATTGTGTATATATACCAGATTTCTTTATCCATTCATCTGTTGCTGGACATATGGGCTGGTTCCACATCTTGGCTTTGTAAATAGTACAGCAATAAACATGGGTGTGCAAGTATCTCTGTAATATGCTGACTTAGATACCTTTAGACATATATCCATGAATGATATCACTGAGTGAAATAGTAGTTGATGTTTGAGGAACGACTACATTGATCTCTATAGTTTACATCCCCTACCCAGCATTTGCAGTCATTTGTCTTCTTGATAATAGCCCTTCTTACTGGAGTAAAATAAACTTGAAAAGCAGCTTTAATTTGAATTTCTCTGGTGGATAAAAATGTTGAACATTTTTAAGTTGTTTCTTTTTGGCATTTGTATTTCATCAACTAACCTCCTATCAGATCATATACTGTGTGTAAAGATTTTCTCACATCCTATAGCTGTTTCTGGTAGTGTAGAGAAGATTTTTAATTCCATGCAATCGAGTTTATCAAGTCTTGTGCTGTTAGATCCCTTTCAGAAAGTCCTGGCCCATGTTTAAGTCCTGAGATGTCTCCCTTGTCTTTTGTTTTACCAGGTTCTTGTTTTAGACCTTACGGTAAGGTGTTTGATTCATTTTGAGTTGAGTTGTATTATAGAGTAAGAAATAAAAAACAAAACGTTTTTCTTCTACACATCGATATCCAGTTTCCCCGGCACTAATTGAAGAGAGCTTTTTCCCTTGGTATATTTTTTTGGCAACTCTTCAAAAGTCAGTTGGCTGTACTTGTGTGGTTTTTTTCCTATACCTTTGTTCCAATCTTGTCTAATCCACATGCGTATTTTGTACCATGCTTGTTTGGTTACTGTGACTTTTGTGATATTATTTGAGATCAATATTGTGATAATTCCAGGGTTGTTTTTTCTGTTTAGGATTATGCTGACTATTCGGGGTCTTTTATGCCTGCATATGGATTTCAGGATTGTTTTTTCTAATTCTGTGGAAAGTATAGAATTGCACTGAATTTGTAGATTACATTAGGTAATACAGCCAATTTCACAGTATCAATTCTGCCAACCCCTCAGTATTGGGGAATCTTTCCATTTTGTAACATCTTCAATTCATTCTTCTGTGTTTTCAAATTTTCATTGAGGAGCTCTGTGGTCTCTTTGCTTTGATTTTTTCCCTATGGTTTATTTGTTTGCTTGCTTGTTTGTTTTGTCTGTTGGCTGGCTTCAGAGTATTGTGAGTAGGTTGTTGGGGGGTTGTTTTTGGTTTTTCCTTATTTTCTCAGCAAGTTTCATTTTAGTGTATAGAAAACTGCTGATTTTTATGTGTTGATTTTGTATTCTGCCACTTTGATGAAAGTCTATCAAAACTGTAAGTTTGTGGTAGAGTCTTATGGTATTTTAAGTGCAAGAATGTGCCACCTAGAAACAGTATAAATGGCTTCTCCAACAGCATCAACACTGAATTTCCAGGATAAAGCAATTCCTGAAACATGTAAGCTTCAGAAAGACAGCAAATAAGACAGAGTTTTTCCCTATAAATATAGCACATGAAATACAGAAAAAGAAGACTGGCACAATAATTGATTTCCAAGAAACAGTAATGATGAATGATTTCAATCCTTATTAGAAATCCATGTAAATCTCTGTAATAGTTTTCTATGGCCACCATTTTAAGTTATCACAAAGCCAGCATCTTAAGGCACCCATTTTATTCTTCACTTCTGTAGAGGAAGTCAGCAAAGGTCTGGCTGGAGTCAGTGAAGCTGCTTTCCTTCTTGGAAGCTCCACAGGAGGTGCTGTTTCTTTGCCCTTTCCAGTTACTATAAGCTCTAAGATTTTCCTGGCTCAGAGCCCTTCCCTCTGTCTCCAAAGCTGAGAACAAGAGACCAGGTTCTCATATCACACTGCTAGGCCTCCCTCCTCTGTACTTCTTTTCCTTCCACTTTTAAGGGGCCAGGTGATCTAAGATAACCCCCCCACTTAAAGTCAGCTGATCAGCAAACCTTTGTTTGCCTTCACCATGGAGCCTAATACAATCATCAGTTCTAAGGATCATAACGTGAACATCTTCAGTGCCATTTATGTGTCTACATTATCCAAGACCGGTTCTTAAGTACTAACCAATGAGTGCAAACAATATACAGAAACTAGTATATATTATTCATCTGCTTCCTAATATTTAAAACCAAGGTTCTTGGGTATTTTGATATGTTTTGCATTATGTGCTGTGTTTTCATGCTATTTAGTAGGCATAAATAAAGAGCTAAGTGGTCCAAACCATTCATGTTTACCTTGTGTAATAAGTTTCTTAAAGATTTTATTTATTTATTATGTATACAGTGTTCTGTCTGCATACATTCCTGCAGGTCAGTAGAGGGCACCAGATCTCATTACAGGTGGTTGTGAGCCACCATGTGGTTTCTGGGAATCGAACTCAGGACCTCTGGAAGAGCAGCGAGTGCTCTTAACCTCTGAGCCATCTCTCCAGCCCCCTTGTGCAATAAATTTTATTTCTGATGTCAAACTCTTATTTGACTGTAAGGAAAATACAGTATTAATGTTCATTTCAGTACATCATATAAGAGTATCCTCCCACACCCCAGTGGCCTGTCCCACTGTTTAAACCTCTGGAACTTCTTGTGTTTGAAAATTGACAAACGTCTGGTCCATGAGCATGCATACTTTGCAGCAATCATTTAGAAAGTGAAGTTTTTCAACATGTGATGGGGATCTGTAGTATAAGGATGGACTTTCCTCCAATTATATCTGGTGTACAAAGTGGCTGTGGTCTAGCCTTAGGATTTGGAGCAAACTAGAAAGTCACTATTTTCCATATTCTCTAAATATATCTATTCTAAAATATTTTCTCATTGTTACAGTGACCACTAAGGCAATTTATAAGAGGGCAAGATAAAAATATAACTTAAAATAAGGATAAGAATGACATAAACCAAGCATTTATATAGAATATTTATGCCACAAATTATTCTCAATAATGTGCTTTTTCTTTTCTGTCATAACATCTCTTTGAAATAGATGGACAACTTCTACATTTTTAAATGGACCGACTGAATTATAAAAGGTTTTTTTTCATTTTTAAAATGGAGTAATTGAATTATAAAAGAAGCTAAGTTGTAAAAGTCGGCCTAAATTTAGCATAGAACTGAACTTAGTCTGTGCCTCAGCCCATGATGTTTCTCTCCTCACAGATGGGCAGCTCAGGTAGGCAGCAGTGCAGAATTGAGTTGGGTGGGTTAGACAAGCACAGTGGCATCTTCATGAGCTGAATGCAAAGGAAATGAGTCCAAGCTAACACTCAGGGAAGGAAAGAAAGGAGACTTGTAAGTATTGGGCACCTAAGTCATAATAACACCACTGTGTACTGTTGAAGTCATTCAATAGACTGAGAAATAGCAGCCTCAACTGTGTTATTTTAGCTCAAAAGACACTAGTCTGATGCCTTTTGCATAGATTTGTCTCCTACATGAGGAGAAACTTTATGAGAGTCAGATACTGAGATATATTGCAGTACAAGGTCTTGAAGCATTCTCTACCCAAAAGGAAGTAAACTATTTCACTGGTTAATGGTGTGTGTGTGTGTGTGTGTGTGTGTGTGTGTGTGTGTGTGAAGGGCATGAGACTTGGAGTCAGTGGATTACATCTGAAACCATACTCACTCAAAGACTTGGGATAAGTCGATCTACCTTGTGAGTCATAGAAAGAAAAAAAAAAAACAGTGACAATGGTAAAAACCTACTGCAAAATTAGCAGTGAGTCAATACTTGTAAAAATCCCAGCAGAATGCCTGCTCTGAAGCATGCACTCAGCAAATGTTTTCATAACTGAAGCATACTGAAATTTCAAAATTCCCAAACCATGGGTGATGAGTGCTGGGGGCTGCCAACGTGGGGAAAGAACGGTTTGGATGCTTCTCAGGAATAATGTGTAAAGATGAAAGGAAATTCTCTTAAAGACCAAATGAGTATCTTTAAAACAAGCCTTTAATTCACCCCACATACCATCTGTAACATAGCAAATAACAGAACCAAGAAGAAATACAAAGGTGCAGCATGGGTTAGCATCCGTATAAATGAGCCCGCACAGAATCAGCTTTCCAACACAAGATCACTGACTTGACTTGTCATGGTTTACAAAACAGAAGAGCAAGAGAAGATTTTGGCTCATCACACAGGGGGCATTCAAAGGAAAACTAGAATGGCTTTCTTTGCTCCTATCAATCGTAACTGTCAGAAATATATCACTTTTTTAATGTCCAGTCAACTGATTTTCCAGTGTGTCTTAGAATTTGTCTTCCTATGTACATCTGTCGATTGCTCCAGTACATAGACAAAATGAATGCAATAAGAGAAGTTCATTAAAATGAGAAGGGTAAAGATCAGTAATTGCTTTAAAGGAAAATGATGCAAACTAGATGATCTTAACTAGTGATATTTATGAGAGAAAAGTAGAGTCAAGCGTTTGAATCCTTTTCTGTCCAAAACAAGCAAAATAATAATAACCACAGAGAAAGTATTAAGAAGTAGTAATGCCAACATAAGTTCATAAACTACCACAATAATACCCTTTTATGTGTGAATATTTATAGTAGCCAACTGGTGGAAACTGAAAACGTTTAAGCAATGCCTTATTCCAGAATTCCAGTCTTCCAACTTAAGTTATCTCCTACCACCAGATCCGCCAATCTACTGGAGCCACAAATGGTGACTCAGATACGCTCGGTTTGTCCCTTGCATCCTTCGGAGTCTAGGGTGAATGCCACTGGCCTGGAAGACGCCCCCGTTGGGATATCATCTCCCTGCCTCCCATGTCTTTCTTTGGTCTCCTCAGGGGTGGAGTGTGGCTGGCAGTCCTGCTCAGAACTACTCCAGACGTAGCCAGGCAGCGTCACATGACTGTCGATCTGTCTGCTGGCATTCTTGGTGGGTTTGCTGGAGATGAGCACCAGGCGCGTGCTTGCCCCCATCTGTGACTGGCTGGTGGTGCTGTGAGTGACAGTGGTGAGCACAGAGCCGTATCTCTGGCCGCCACAAGGTGGCGTCCTTTTCCAGTCGATGGACAGATTCCACCGAGTCCACATCTTCTTCATCTCAGCCTGCACCTACAGGGTAAGAAACACGCTGTGTATCAGAAATCATAAAGCAGCCCCACGCCCCCCACGCCCATGTAATGACGAGCGTTGCTTAGATTTCAGTGATAATAATAATAAGCACTGGATGAGGTCCCTCTGTATTCAGGGACGCTACAGATATGTGCCTTTGGTACACCTCAAAAAGACCTTCCCAATCAATGTTACTTCTAGCATTTAAACTAGACCGAAGTGTCACTGAAACGAACCACTGCCTTATCAAAAGGAAGAAAGAGAATTCCGGGTTGGAGGAGAAATAAGAGATGAACAGTGGCGGGGGGGTGGGGGGCACAAGACTCTTCATGTCACAAGTCCTGCACGGAAGAGGCACCAAGTCTCACACACCCCAGGGATAAACAAACCTCCTGAAAGCGTTTGTCTGAGAAAGCTTACAGCTGCAGGGAAGTTCTGCTGTTCATTCTAGCCAGCCAGAGCACCCAATAAAAGTCCGCCTAGCTCCTTTCTTCAAACCCTTTACCACAGAAGACCCACAACTGTGCCGACACGCAGGACTCATCTCTAGGAGCCAACGGTTCATTAAGAGGCTGGGGCTTCTGCTGCCCTTTTCCTGTGGGAGGATGGAGCCTTAACTTGGCTGGCACAGCCAGTTAACTGCTACCCCTGCATCCGTCTAGCTCGGTGCTTTTTCCGCTTTGACTCTAAGCTCCCAAACACCAAGCCCCCAATTCTCCATTTGAAAAGCTCTCTGCCTTTCCCCCACTCTCAGAAGCTACTAAATAAACTTTAAAGTCTGATGTCTGACACCACCTCAGGCAGAGGAAAGCCAAGGAAGGTACTCTGCTTGCAACAAAACTGCCATACACTGTCAACCTGCAAGAGCCAACAGGAGGGAGGAAAATAAGGATGGGGATAGAAAAGCAGGCATAGCAGCTGCAGTCTGACTAGATGCAAGTTGGCCTCTGTGCCTGCTACAAAGGCGTCCTTTCTACTGACCCTTTCCCGAGAGCACCAGGGGAAGAAAAAAATCTTGTAAGTTGGTGTCACCTAAAGCCATATACTCATCTCTTCTTCTGAGGAGGGAAAAACAAACACTGATGCACTTAGCCCTGCTGCAAATTAAAGTAAAAATACAACCCAGCAGTAAATCCGGGTGGTGCATTGATAAGTTGCCACTCAAGTTCCTTATGCAGAGACCAACACCCCACAGAAAGAAGCCTCTGGTGATCCCCTGTAGTAAACAATGTCCTTGTCCTTCTGGGATGTGGAGCAAGTTGAAGATTTGAGAGAAAAAGGAGGCAGCATCCAACAGCAGGGCATGCCTAAAGCTCCAGAGTCATGTGATCATCCACGTGATGATCATGTAACTTGCGGTTACTTCTCTCTGGAGACTTCTGAATGGATTGAGATGGCCCTATCCTCAGCTTGTCATGAAAAACTTATCTGTTTTAATTGAATTTATTTTCATTTAGATTCATCCTAAGGAAAGTAGTTGACTTTTTCTAGAACTTGATGTGGACCAAAAGTGTTAGTATTAATTAACCAGAATTGATTTAGAATTAACTAAAATAAGAGTCTTCCCCTAAGAGCTCAAGGTTGTGAGGTCAATCTCTCAGAGGTATAAGCTCCCTTGTTTCTGCCTTCCATTACCCGATAATATGACAAGAAGACTCTGGGCAGATATGGCCACCTTGACATAGATGGCCCACTTTGGATCTGTGAGAAGCAGACCTCTACCCTTTGTAAATTACTAAGTTTCTTGTGTTCTGTCATAAAGACACAAAATGGATTAAGACAAATATTAATTTGGAGCTTATCTTCAGAGGCCCCTGGTGTCTTCAGACCTACCTCTCCATTGCAGTAACAGTAGACGATGGACACGAAGAAACCCTGTAGAGAAAAAGAGGCCATAAGCCCCGTGGCAGGAAAATATCTTGTATCAAAATTCACCAACTGAAAAGCTGGCTTTTGATGATATCTTCAGAAAATTACACAAATTATTTTCTCCTAACATTTCCAAATGTTTGTTTATATTACATTTGTTTGTGGCCTTTCCTTGCTTTCAGCCAAACCAAACAACTCAGTGAATACTCGGAGGTGAACAAAGAACTGATTCCTATTATGTGGTTTCGTTTATGTTAGCCCCTGCTTGGTAAAATATGTTTCTATGCCCTAAATGCTAGCAGCAACCAACATAGAATATTATATGCTACGAACACAAAAGACCTTTTCTTTACTCTGAAATATCTATTGAGCTTAAACACTGTGCTAAGAATGACTCAGCACGACAGGAGTAAGATATAAACAAAATGGTTCTGGAAGACGGAGACATGGATAAAATATATGACAACGGCCACATGAGAAAAACAAGACTATGAGGGTCTTACGGGTAAAGTTAGTGTTACAGGGAACAATAGGGTGGGTATATTGGATGAGAAACTCAGCCAAGACCCTCACTGGGATGACATTTAAGGTTGTCAGAGTAACAAGAAAATGATTGTCAACTGGATGGATATTATGGGAAGGTGGTTCTGGGGGGAAAGAGAGCAGAGTGTGACACTACCAAGCTCACTCTTGTCTCTACCCCCACCCCAGGCACACTGGTGAAGCAACAACCAGGTCCCATGAGGTCTGTGGGACATTAAGTGAGTGTTGACCAGCACCAGGCCATGCAGGGCTGTGTGGGGCAGAAAATGACACTTGAACTTGATACTGAGTACAACAGGAAACCTTTGGAAATTCTTGACAAGTAAGTAATACTACCAAACTGTGAAATTTCCAATTGTTCAGGCTGCTGGAAACTGAAGTTCCCTGACCAGGTTACAGATTGTACAGCCATATAGAACTTTGTAGCTGTGGAGAGTTGGCATGTTGCTGGTTAAGAGCCCAGATCACCTTGGGCTATTTTCAATTCCCTTAAGAGTCATTCATTGCCCACCTTTTAGAAACCTACATCATTATGACCATCAGGTAAAGCCTCTAGAATGTATTGATTTAGCAAACCGCTGGCTCTCACAAACCCAGAGCTAAGAACACTATCGGGTTCCATCTGAAATTCATAGTGGAGACTTTTTGTCTTTGTCATGACTCACCTATATGATGGCCCCACTAACATATTTGATAAACATACTGACTTAAGACTCCCTTTCATTCTGTAACTAGGAAACATGTACATAATCACTTCCATGAGAGCAACTTCCATCTGTGTTCTCAGGCTATGGTCACTCGTATCTGTCTCAAGCTCTCTGTTACTCCCCCTGGAATAAATACATCACAGATTTGAGGTGAAGGGAGGAGGTGCTGTGAAGACTCTCCATTTAAGAGGCTAGTCATCCTCTTTACACTGGGATGAAGTACATAGGGCAACCTTCTTCTATTTTCACCTTCCTTTCCTGTCTTGCTTTTCCCCTGCTTTTGTCTTCTTTTAATTTCATTTACTACACACACACACACACACACACACACACACACACACACACACACACACACAAGCGAAGGACTCTGCCCTACAGCCGTGGTGTGTTCTCCAACAATGTGAGTTGTTATCTTGCTATCCAGGCTTGTTCCTATGCCAAACAGCTCCATGCTAATTCTCTATGGGGTCAGAGAATTAACCTGACCCCTAGGAGGAAACACAGTAAGAGCTGGACCCTCAGAAGACAGGCTCAGTGAACCAGGGCAAAGCTCAGAGAAAGCGGTTGAAACTAATCAATCGCAAGCAGCAAGCCACAGGCACTGCTGGTCACCTGGAAGGAGTTGAAGAAGAGTTCACAGTGCATGCGGATCTCCCACCAGAGCCCGGAGAAGGAGTGCGGCTGGCAGATAAATATGATGTAATGCACGCCAAACACCAGCACCAGGACCAGTGTTGACTTAGCCAGTTTCCTAGAAAAAAAAAAAAAAAAAGACACAAGGTTTTCTATCAACCGACCTTAGGTGCCTTTGGGGAAGCAGCTTATTGCAGAAATGAGTCAGATTTCCTCAGCTGCTGGTGTGCCCTTATTCTCCTTCCTCGACTTTTGCTGTTTTGTGGGTGTTTTCTTTGGATTGGTTGGGTGTGTGTGTGTGTGTGTGTGTGTGTGTGTGTGTGTGTGTGTATACATGAGTATGCAGGTACTCAGGCCCGGCCCTAGCATGCAGAAAATCAAACAGGACAACAGGACATCTCCTTCTATTTCTCTCTACTTTTTTTTTTTGAGCCAGAGCCTCTCATTGGACCTGAAACTCACCACTAAAACAAAGCTGGCTAGCCAGTGAGCTCTCAGGATTTGCCTGTTTCTACCTCCTAATGCTGTAGTTACAGGCATGTTCAGCCATGCCCAGATGGTACATGAGTGCTGGGGTTTCAAACTTGGCTCCCTATGCCTGCAGGGCAAGTGTTCTCCCCACTGAGACACCTCCCCAGTGCTGCCTCTTGTCACATTATAGGAATTCAGGTGGCTGATGCTAACTTCCCATTATTAGAGAGCATCCCTAATCTCACTAGAGATCCCCTGGGTCTCTAGTCTGTTCTTCTTGATGATATGACGTCGTTAAATGGCCTTCGTTACTATTCTAAGTCATCCTTAACTTGTGTGTTTGAGACTTAACAAAGCATCTCCTCCATCCTAACCTGAGATTCAGGGAATGTCAGGGAAGAGGGGGCAGAAAATTGTAAGAACTGGAAGACAAGGAAGTCTGCTGCAAGAGTGTGCCTTCTGTGAGAGACAGGGAAGCTGCACACATTAAATCTCAATATGGCTGCCTAAGTAAGATCCTGAACAATTCCAACACCAGTCGGCATCCCAATATGGGTAGTGGAAATCCCATGGGGCCCCTACCCCTGAATGAAGAGCTACAGGAATTCATGGCTGCTGAGAGAGAGAAAGAACCAGTCTTCCACAGGATGAGTCCTCTGATTGGTTACCCAATACCAAGTGGTCAGCCCTAAAAATCTCACACACATAAGCAACAGTAAACTGATTCAGCGGGTTGTGTTTATAATATTTGCTTATATGCAATAATAATTAAGAGATACTCATGACAATTAATAACAATAATAATTAAGGAAAGGCTATGAATTTGAGATGGAGTGGAAGGAGGAAGGGGAGAATGACAAACAATATATATACATATATATATGAAATTTTAAATTTTAATTAATTTTTTAAATCAACAACTCAAAGACACTTCAGCTCTTCCTCTTATTCTGAATGTTCTGTGAAATATTCTGTTTCCAACTACCTGTGATTCTGTTTAATTCTCTCACTTTCTCTCTCTTTCTCTCTCTCTTTCCCTCCCTCCCTCTTGATTTTTGTCTTGTTGTTTGGTTGGATGGTTGAGTTTTTTGTTTTTGTTTTTTGGTTGTTTTTTCTTGTTTTGTTTTGTTTTGAGAAAGGGTCTCACTTCGTAGCCTTGGCTGGTCTGGAAGTCACTATGAAGAACAGGCTGGCCTTGAACGCACAGGGATCTGTCCTCCTCTGCCCCTGCCCCTGCCCCTGCCTTTGGAATGATGCAATTAAAGGAATGAGCCATCCCTGCCCTGCCCTGGCCTCATCCTAATGATCTTGTATATTTGAAGCAATCCTGATTTTTCCAATGTGATAGTGTTGATATTTGGTTTTAGGTGTCAGTTTGCCTAAGGATGGCATAGATGACTGGTAAAGTATTATTTCAATGTATCTGTGAAGGTGCTTTCAAAGGAGATGGGTACATGAATGGCTGGACTCAATATGAAAGGTCTGCCCTTGGTGTCGGCAGGTACCACCCAGCCCCTGGGGCTCACTAGTTAGTACTCAGAAGGAGGACAAGTACAGGCAGGCCCAACAGCACTGGTCAGGCCCAACAGACCCATTGCTTATCAGCAATGCTGTCTTGAATGAAATGTGCGAATGTGGAATTCTAAAACTGAAGGAACTGTAGGCAAGGCAAGTGAGGACTCAGACTAGTGGACAAAAGGCCCACAGGCTACAAGAGAAACTGAGTGAGGGGCAGGAGGCTGCACCAAGGAAACAGACAGTTCTGTCAGAGCCAGAAGGCACAGGGAAGGTCTACACACCTCTTCTGCAGCAGGAGCACAGCTCTCCTGCCTCCAGTCCTCCAGGCTCCCAGCCTTTGGAGCTGGGATTTGCACCTGTAGGCAGATGAGCTGTTGTGTATCCCTCTTGAGCTGAGGGCTACACCATTTGTTTCTTTGGTTGTGAGACTTTGGACTTTAAACAGAGTCCTGGAACTGTGAGGCCTGCCGAGGGCCTCCAGACTCACATGAACCAGTTCACCAAGTACCGTCTCATATATCCACTTACCTGTAACTGCCTATTCTCCTATAAACCTACCTGCATGTGTACACCTTCGTACATCTTGGCAGGCCTATTGATTCCGCCCTGAGAGAACCGTGTCCAGTACAGACAGACTTAGTCTAAAATGGTCCTCGCTGATCCCACCTCTTGGTCCTTATGTCCTTGTCAGTCCTTTCCCTGAGTATGGTTGGGTTGGGGGATTTCCTCTGGTTGACTAAAGCCACTTCTGTGACTGTGTTACCTACGATTCTAACTGCCATCTTCCTAGCCTTCTGCAGTGAAACAAGCTGCCATGTTGGGAGCTGTTCTACTCAAAGTCTCATGTGGCAAGAAACAGTAGCATCTGGACATCAGCTGACCAGCGCCCAAATCTGCAGTAGTCACACACACTCAGATATATTCTGCCCAGTCCAACTTTTCCATGACGCCATGGCCCTGATTGGCATTTCATTTGCAGCCTTGTGACAGCCTAGCAGAGGAGGAGGACACAGATCCTTGACCTACAGAGAATGAGATGGAAAGTGTGCTCCCCTAAGCCACTGAGTTTGGAGCAATTCATCTGTCACCAGGTCACCAAGTGCACCATTTTCCAGTTCTTGGGTTACTTTTGTTAGGTTTGCACTTGATCCAAGAAATTGCCAAACATGGCCCATTTTGTATGTATTTCTTGAGTTTTTTCCCCTTTGTGAATCATCTACACTCAAAAATCTTGAACAATTTTGTCTTCCATCTTTATCAGTCTCTCCTCTAGTTGCATTATTTACTTATTATTTTTCTTCTTGGAATCAAACTGCATGGGTGAGCCAAGATCTCACTAGTCTAAGACTGAAGGGAACTAGATTCAGAATCTAGGCTTGATGTTTTCTGCCTATGGAATGCTGGTTCATGTATCTAGTCTCAGGAATAGGAGGGCAGGGTCCACAATCCCATCAAGTCTCTAGTATTTCAAAGCTTTCTTGGTAGTCATCATTCCCATCAACACACTATCCAGCATAGCCTGCTTTCTGGAGTGCCCACAGATTCGCATGGAGATGTCCAAGGCTGTCTACCTCCCTCATTGCCTGTGGTGTCTCAGTACTGTCAGAACCAGCTGTCCAGTGGCCTGCCCCTCACTCATAATTTTCCCTGCAGACTGTGAGCTTTTCATCTGCTGGGCTGAGCTCCCACTTGCCTTGCCTACAGTTTCTTCAGTCTTAGAATCCCACATTAGTCCATTCCATTCAGGAGAGCATTGCTGATAAGCAGTAGATCTCTTGGACCTGACTAACACTCTCAGCGCTCAGAACCTGCCTGTACTTGTCCTCCATCTAAATGCTGAATAGTAAGCCCAAGTTCCTGTTTCTGTAAGTCCAGAAAGGATGCTGTGAACACCTAGGGCATTTAATTTGGTTTAGTTAGATCCAAGAATTGCATTAACTGCACTTGCACAGCCTTAAAACTCTTGTCTAACATCTCTCTGAAAAAAATTATATTCTGTTTTTAAGATGCAGTGTAAATCCCCCGGAGAATGCACTCAAAATCAGGCTAGCTTTGATTGATCCTACTTTTGTAGCTAGGAACCAAAAACTAGGTTGAAACAAGAAATTAAATCAAAGCAATAGATTATAAAATGGTCACAAATACTAAAGTTTTGTCACTATTCAGTTTAATGCAGACTAGGAGAATAATTACATCAGGCAATGAAATCCATTTGATATCCTGTTAGCTCTATCCTTTGAACTCCCTCTTCTTGTCTATGACTAAGTTATTGTATAGTTCTGTAAGGATCATCTGTGAAAACAGTAATTGAATTCATCTTTGGTTTGCTGTATAACAAAGAACCACAAAGTCCCTGCCTTAAATACTCATTCCCTCTGTTGCTATGCAGTGCTAGACATACAGATCAACACAATTGGGTGTTATACTTGAGTCTCTCAAAACTGAACTCAAGGTTTCAACTAGGGTTGGATTCACAGCTGGACCCAGGGTTCTCTTATAAACTCATTCAGATTTCTAAAGACCTCCGCTGCATTTGTAGGGTTGTCTTCTGGCTCTCAGCCCCGAGTCACTTGGATCCTACAGACTGCCAAACCTGTATGTCCAAACCACAGGCTCTCCCAGGCTTCCAGGATGGACTCTTAATATATCACAAGACTGACTAGTCCTCTTTCTTTGACATATAATGCAACCTAATCAAGGAGAGAACAATGCAGTCATAGATCTTGCCCACATTCAAGGTCTCGATGACAGAGCAAGTATTGCACATGGCACATATAGGATACTAAAGGCTAGAGATCCCAGGGGTCCTCATAGAAATCTGTCTACCCAGACTTTGAGTATTACCCATGGAAGGCCTCACCCTCCCTGAGGAGCAGAAAGGGGTTGGGATAGGGAGTCAGTGGGAGGATGGGGAGGAGCGGAGGGATAGGAAATTGAGATTGACATGTAAAAGAAGCTTGTTTCTAATTTAAATTTTAAAAAGAAAAAGGAAAGAGAAAAGAAAGAAAGAAAGAAAGAAAGAAAGAAAGAAAGAAAGAAAGAAAGGATGGATGGAAGGAAGGAAGTCTGTCTACCACAGTAATGCAAGTCATAAGTCATTCCTGGCCACTGAAACACAAATTTCATCCAGCAGATTATAGATGCCTCTGACTGTAGCCCTGTAGGTATTAAGTTTTGCAGTTTGCATCCACTTATAAACTCATTCCAGCATGCATTTCCTAACTATATATCCTCTTTTGAACCTGGTGAAATGTTTTGCCACCTCCTTCATTAATTATGGAATTAAATAAAATGTTGAACTGAGTTCATGTTTGTATATTAGCTATGATTACATCCTCTTTTAGAATTTATCCTGCAGAGCATATGACTAGCAAATGTACACCTAGGTCATGATGTGTATTCGTAGCAGGTTAGGCACAAGCCACTCTGGGCACTGGTGCTCATTAGTGTTCATATGGTCAATCACAGACACTGTATGGTTTTAAAGCTTAGCCTTTAATGAAGATACATCTGTCTGATGAAATGATCTGGGCATGTAGCAACTGATATGGGTCTTCTGGCTTGCTGGGAGTATGGTGTTGGTTTGGGGTACAAGAGAAATGCAAAGGAGTCAAGCGGTTTAGGGACATGGTGTCCAATTTGGAAAATAGATGCCCAGCTCTCATAGGATCTAGCCCACATCATTCTCCAGATAAATTTGTATGGAAAAAATCTCTAGTATAGCTAAAACTAAAGAGGACAGGCTCAGGATCCTGTTTATCTTAAGCCTTTCTTGGTCCCTCCTGGCTTTAAATGAAGCTTTCCTCATGTCTATGTAAATAGGTTTTTCTTATTTTGTTTTATTTTTATTTTAAATTTATTTATTTATTTGAAAATAGAGTTGTTGTTGTTGTTTTGCAGGTTTCTTCTCTTTAATTGACCACTCTGCTTATATATAAACCTTACAGTATACAGGAACAAAGTTAGTATTTAAATCAAATATACACAAGCTGCCCATACAAATCTGCCATTTAGCAACTTTACAATTCCAGACATACATGGTCTGACAGCAGTAGAGTTTTATGGATGCATTTCTGCATGTGCTTTCCTCAATTCAAGAGAAATATTTTATAAGATGTCAGTCACTTTCTCTCTCTTTTCCTTATTTCCTCTCTCTCTCCTTCCAAGAGGGAAATGTAGCAAATGAAACTGTTAGCCATTTTGTACCATGCTACTGAAGCAACCTGGAGTGTCTCACTTCTTGTAAGAGAAGGTATATTATCCATTTCCAGCTGGGGAAAGAGGTTCAAAGAATGAAAATATCCACCCAAAATTATACCTTAAGTGACTATTCATCTTTAAATCTGTCTGCTTTGCTGTCATACTGTGTTGGTTTTTCCCTAACCATTAAATTGGTTTGTTAAGCAAAAATCATAATGACATATTTAACATCATATTGATTGACAAGTTCAGTTTGAGGAAACATTCAAGTGTTCTCTTCCTTGAATTCTTTCACACATTGTATTTTCCAAGTTCTGACAACTCCTCTTGATTGTTAAAGTATATTAAAATGAGGTATAAAAGATCATGTAGTGGATATTGGTTTATTTAGTGACTTACTTAAAACTCCTGTGTGAACTGCCTACTTTCCGAGCATAACTTTACTCGCTACCTGGAACAGAATGACCTGAAGGAATATCTGAAACAGTGGGTAGTCTCCCTTAACAACCTGCTGACTGCCACATATGTTACTGTAAAATCTGACTTGCTTTCTTGTGGTTTTAGAGTATAAAATGAGAGTGCCAACTGGACCTTGGATCAAAGACTTTCAGGAGCTGTCCTGGCTTTGTTCCACAGGTGATATCTCTCTTCCACTCTCATTGGCATCACAGTGCTTATACCAGAAAGACTCTGGCAACATTTCTGGAGGCCCCAGTGAGATCTTCTTCACCAAGACCCCAGTTAGTCCAAAGAGGTTGCTTCTCCTCAGCCACTGAAGGTCTCTGGAACTAGGAAGTATGTACCCATAATGGAATTCTGGGGTTCTTGAAAGATTAGCCAGACACTGCATAGAAAATTGCTTTAAGTTGCAGGTGTTAATTGTGGATAACCCCACACACACACTCTGAGGCTGCTGTGAACCATGAGAGATGACCCAGATAAGCCTCTGAGTTTCGATTTTTCAAAACAACCTCAGAATGAAGACAACAGGCCAGCTTCTACTCTGCCTCTTGCTGTTCTTCCTGGTCCTGTGGATGTGCACCAATGCAGCCCCCACTTAACGTCTCTGATCCTGTCACATAAATTAGTCTGGAGGGCACCCCTATTCCAGGACAAATCCACTCACTATCATTCATCAATATAACTAACACCACTTCCCCTCCTAGAAGTATTCTGCCATTGAATGAAGATGTAAATGTGAAGCCTGGGTTACCCTGATAACAGGAACTGGAACCAGCCAAAAAGAAAGAAGCTAAAAGGAGTTGGAGATCTGAAGGGCATTTTGACATCAGATGTGGAGATGCAGAATTTGGTGTTTGCCCAGCTGGTTTTCAGTCTTGCTTTGGTCTAGTATTTCCTCACTATGTTTCCTTTCCTTCCTTTTGGGATGGTAATGTATATCCTGTGCCATTACATGTTGGAAGTATGTGATCTGCTTTTTCATTTTGATTTTACAGGGGCTAACAGTTAAGAGATTCCCATGAGTCTCTAAAGAGACTTTGAACTTTTTAAACATGGTTGAGACTGTTAAAGACTATGGGGACTTTGTAAGTTGGACTTTTTTGCGTTATAATATGGCTATAAGCCTATGAGGGCCAGGGAGCATAATATAGTGGTTTTAATAAAAATGGCCCCCATAGACTCTTAAGGATTGGTCTTGGAGTAGGTGTGGCCTTGTTAGAGGAAGTATGTCACTGGAGAGTAAGCTTTGAGGTTCCAGAAGCTCAAGCAAGGCCCAGTGGCTCACTATCTCTTTCTGCTTCCTATGGATCCTGATATAGAACTCTCAGCTACCTCCAGCACCCTATCTGCCTGCATGACATCATGCTTCCCAGCATGACAAAAATTGACTAAACCTCTGAACAGTAAGCCAGCCCAGTTAAATGTTTTCCTTTATAAGAGTTACCATGGTCACAACGACTCTTCACAGCAATAGATCACTGACAAAGACATATACATTTAAGTAATATACTCTGAAGTTAAAACTAACTAACACTGAGACAAGAACACAAATTTCACTTTCCATGTCTGCTTCAGAAGTAAGGCTTGATAATCTGAGGATTCTAAAACAGAGTACTAAACTGAAAATATAAATAAACATCCTACATTCAGAACTAAAACTCTATACCATTTACAAATAACATCACACTTTTTCATTTTATGAAGAATGAAAGGTTATTTATACCCCCCACACACACTATGCCATCATTCTTGGTCTATGTCTTCACTGATGGACTATAACATGAGGCAATTTATATTAGTACAGCATAGGCCTTTGTCCACAGATTCTTGGGCACTGTGTATATCACAATACTACCACTGTAACTCAAGGAACATAGTTGGAGTTGGAAGCTGCAGGTTTTTTCACACTGTGCATCCTAAGAAAGTCTGCTATACAGAAAAAGCTAGCTGCACATTAGAGGAAAGAATTAGAAAAATTAGAGAAAGAATCAGCAAAGAATTTGGAAAATATTTGCGAAATAAAACAAAATGTTGAACATGGTTCGTTCATTCTTCTGTTGTTACCCATCTAATGGATATAAAATCTAGTCCACTACCTGATTACTAGATATGTTAGTTCAATTTGATAGAGGCCATTATTACTCTGAATTACCATAATGACCACTGGAAGGAATGGGCACTCCCTTGAAATGGATTCATAGTGATCATGAACACTCAGTTTGTCTTTTTCTTCATAAAAGACAAAGAAAAGGAATTCCTCCCATCAGTGTGTTTGAAAAGTTCTTAAAATTTGTATTTGATAGGTATCAATTTGCTAAAGGTTTTGATGCAATACAGCAAATGCACCTGCTTGATTATTTTCATAAGGACATATTTTTAAATACAAGACAGTTGTCTAAGAAAATCACCAAGAGATTTTGTGTGAATTTATATAATTTATAGAAAATTAACAACCTGCTAAGAACAAATATACATAGAGAATCCAGACACAATAATATTTGTATCTTAACTATAATACTTTCTTCCAACAAACAATATAAGTGAATGAAACAAAAACACATATTCATAGAGGAAATTGCCTGGAGACACTTCAGACCAACTGGTGTTCATTCTTTAAACAGCAAACAAAATATTTCCTCTGATGGAGGTGCTCTGTGTTACCTGTACTGCTTTCTCATGTCATGCCCAACAGCATTGGTCTCCCAAATTTTGGTAGCAAGAACTCTAACTGTATTCAGGAACAGAATAAAATTCAGCTGAAAGACAAAAGAAGGTAATATCACAACAAAATTAAGCTACTCTTCAAGACATTTATAGAATTTAGTAATTTGAACGTCTTTGAATTGAGATGAAAAGTTACCCACTCTATAAATTTAAATACAGAATCTGAGATATAAAAGAGTAAAAGCTACTGACTTCCAATTTGACTTCATTTTAAAAATGATATTTTTAATATCATTAGAAACAAGAAGTATCAATGAATAATATACTAGGATCCAATTTCCAAACATCAGATGAAGCTCATGGTAGGTTGGCAAGACAAAATTGAGTTATTGTACATATGGGACAATCTTTTTTTTAAAAAAAATGAATTAATACCTGGCTTCTGTCTCTGTGCTGAGGAGGGAGAATAATGAATTGTTCAGAGAATAGTATTCTTTATTATGATGTGTAATGTGTACTTGGAGATGCACATTAAGGATATTTTATAGGCTATGTAAGAAAAGACCCCTGAATTTGAATTTGAAAAGTAATAGGTGTGGGAACCACTAGAGAGGACTGACTTGTATTCAAACAAGGGATATAACAGAGAGTTGGTGAGATGAGCCCTTTGTGTAAGAGGGAGGTGCTTCTAAACTAATGGTTCATGGATGCCATTTCCTGAACACTCTCTGAGCCTCACACGAATATGAGATATTTTTATTGTGCACAATTATTAAGGACCCAAAATTTTCCAATTCAAAGAGATTTGATCTGGGGTACCCAACTATTAGCTGGAATTTTAAGCCATATGCATAGTTCCATGATGTGTTTAAGGATAACAGTCTCACACTCTCTCTTCAGATAGATTTAAAAGAAATAGAAAACTTGGAGAGTTGAGGCTTTTCATTGGGAATGCTTTCTGAACAGCCATATTTATTTCACACTACAGGATTTGCTATCTACCTGACAACAGTTTCCAACAATGTAGTATGTGTGGGGTGAATACCTGGGAAAGGCTGAATCATGGCAACTGTGTGAGAGACTGAGCATTAGAACCTGAACCAAGAATTGCCATGGGTGCATGACCAGCTGCAGACTACCATTCATCTTCCCTATTGCTTGTGATAGAAGACCAACCCTCTACCATATTAAAATATTCAGAACCAAGGTCTCTGACATCATGACATATGTCAAAGATAAATTCTGAAAACCAAAAAAAAATATTTGATTGGAAGTAATACACACCAGTTCACCCAACAGTTTAATAGGAGAGAAGACAATTAAGAGTAGCCAAATTGATTATAAAAAAAATTAAGAAAAACTAAGACTTAGAAAAATACATATATATGCACATAGTAACACATGAAAGAATAGTAACAGGAAATTCCAGATAATTAGTGTAAATGATTTAGGAAAATATAGAATATAGGGTAACTAGAAAGTGTTATTGGCACTTAATATCCTGAATTCTTACAGGAAAAATTAGCTCTAGGAGATGGGCATCTCATTACCATCACTGCACAAGGTGAAATGCCACGTGGTCACACGGTCAGTGAGTGGCAGAGCACTCATGTAGACCGCATGTTGAATGTACTGTGTGCTCTCAGTCATTCTGTTGCTCTGCCTATCCAATGGAGTTGAAAAATAAAAAATTGAATTGATTCAAAACGGATCAAAGACCTCAATTTCAAATCTGAAATTCTACTTCTAGATAAAAACGTTGGAAATATCCTTCAAAACAATGGTGTCAGCAATACGTTTCTAAACGGAACGTTACTAGCACAGGCCAGTTTGGAGGACCAACTAGGGTGGCTCCAGGGAACTAAAACGTGGGTGCATAGCAAAGGAAACAATCAACAAAGCACACGACCCAGGGAGGGGAGAAAACCTACACCAACCACACCTCAGACACAAAGAACTGCAGAAGTTAACTGCCAAGGAAATAAAACTAAAGATCAACGAACAGGCTAACAATAAATGTTGGAGAGCGTGTGTAGGAAGAGGAACCTTCATTCACTGCTGGTGTGGGGTGTAAATTAATACAGCCAGTGGGGAAATAGGTTTGGAGTTTTCTCAAAACATTAAAAATAGAATGGGAATTCTATACCCCACCATGAAGATATTTCAATTCCCATGTTGATTGTTGCTGTACTCATTAGACCAAATAAACCGAACCAAACTAATTGACTGGATGTTGAAAATCTGCTACATATATAAAATGGAATATTATTCAGCTCTGAAGAAAAATGAAATCACAAAATTTGCAGGAAAACTTGATAACCTTAGAATGCATAATGCTAAGTGAGGCAGCCCAATCTCAAAATTTAAAAAAAAAAAAAAAAAGCATGTTCTCCTAAATTATATCCCGGCCTATAATGTATACATGTACATATGTAAGCAAATGTAAGAATACTATAACATTTTAAAAGGACAACAAGAAAGGGCAATAAAACAAAGCCAAAATGCATACTAATGTATTAAAGTAAAATTATATACTTTGTGCAAGTCCTTTGAATACACTGTCAAGGTGTAACACATTCTCAATGCAGACTAGATCCTTAATGGGAAGTGTCCATATATGATTCCACGAGGGGCTGTTATCTTCCTAGGAAACCTGAATTTTAAGTTAAATTTTTTGCTGTTTAAAAATTCCTATAGGGAGTAGCTCTTTATAAGCATTGCTAAACTCCATTGGGGGGGGGGAGGACACTAAGAATCTTAACTTCCAAATACTAAGAGCACAAAGATTATGGAGGAAAAGAGTCACAAGATCAGGCAGTAGAGTCAGAGATACACCTACTCCCACCATTAGGAGTCCCACAAAGACACCAAGCCAACAAGCATAGCATATCTGCCGAGGATCAGCGGCAGACCCACGCAGGCCCTGCGCTTGCTGCTTCAGGCTCTGTGAGCCATCTGTGCCCTTCTTAGTTGATTCAGTGGACCGTGTTCTCCTGGTGTTCTTCATCCCCTCTGACTCCTACAATCTTTCCTCCCCCCCCCTTCCTTGGAGTTATGTAGATAGAGCTAAGCAATACCGTAGAACAGCAATGAAAAATAGATCATTGAAACTTAGTTTTTGAGCAACCCACAGCTGGCATTTAAAAAAGAACCCAAGACTAAAATAAGAAATCAGACCTGGCCACTTACTGACACATTTGATTTTGTATGCTTGTTTTTCCACAGGCTGTGGTTGATTTTTCTCAGAACTCTTCAAAAATAAGCCCCAGGATCAAAGAATGTGCAAGGTGGGAAGCATTTAGAAGATGTTTTCTTGATGGTAATTTGACAATGCTAGTGTAGAGATCTTCGAATTTAAATAACCCTGCATAAATCAATGCAACTGTGAGAGTTTGAAGAGTTTACAGTTTACATGATACATGGTGGTAAGAATTAGAAAAATGTGGATCAGAGATTTCTTTCTTAGAGTCACTTTTATCAGTTTATCTTCACAATTTTCTAGACATTGACAGCATCATTGTGCATTCTACATGGACCAGATCCTCAGATGGCTAATGGTCTACTTTGAGGGAAGTATGTTTAATACAGAGTTCAGACTTTCAGCGGTTTTCTTTTTTTCATCTCATGAATGGTTTGTTCTACACACTTGTAAAAAGATACCTTCAAGAATTCTGATAGAGGAACAAAGATGGTAACTCCCATAAAAGCTTTTAGAAAAATCTTAAAAGATAATTTTTAAAATACCATATCCACTTCTCTTTAAAATATGAAGAGGACATAAACAGGTATTATCTACTTTCTGTTGTTTAGGTCCATGATGAATCTGTCCCCTAAGTATTACCACAGGACGGTCAACCTCCAAAACCATGAGATGGGAATGAGAAGGAAATTGATAAGGGAGGGATCTATATAGATAAATATTAGTATGTAACTTTGACAGATTTGCAAATACCAAATTGATTTTTTCCTAGAGAAAATTCTGCCTTCCAGAAGCCTTGCCTAAATTTCTCAAAAATAGCACTACAAATAAAAATCAAGCTCTAATATATATTATAGAAGCTGTCTGTGAGTTACAGACTAGCAAGAAGTATGCATTTTATATTTGTATTTATTGTAGAATCAAATTACAGTATGAGAATGGATAGTTTCTTACTTACTGTTTAAAAGCTCAGTAATTTATTACAATATACCTGTCAATGAAGTAAAACTATTTCTCATGTTCAACATATTGAGAAATAAGGCAATGTGGTGTGAATGAATGGCCTGCATTTAAAGGGTCTCTGGGGGGAATGAATGCATAGCATTTGACTTTGACACAGACAACTGTTTCAGCAAACGGTGAGGATTAAGGTCAGGGTTAACCCAACAGAACCCTTCTTGCCACCAGCAGCTGGGCTGAAGATGTATCTTGGGTTTATTCGCTAAGTGGACCTGTTAAAGAACCCTATAAATAGTGGAGATTGCCCCACTGAGGGACAGGATGCTGAGGGATGGTGCTGTCCCTGAAGACCTGGAAGACATTGCTCAGGTTGCTCAGTGCAAGTTTCTAGAACAAAGGATAGGCTATCTGAAGCCAATTCCACATCTTACATTCACCCACCCAGGGCTTCAGCCCCTTCTCCAGGGATGAGGAGGATGAAGAAGAGAAGAAAAAAGTTCACATCAGTTGAGCCCCTCTTGTGAAAGGAAAACTCAAGACTAAGGGGAGGGATGAAGGCAGCAACTCCAGAGTGTGTTCAAGGGCACGAACTGAAGCAGATTAATGAGACTATCTGGAAAGAGAAGGGAAAAAGAAGAGAAGGGAGAAGGCACGAGAAATGGATGGATTCTAGAAGTTTCTATTCATCCAGGATCATCCATCTATAAATTAATTATGTGTTTACGATTATACACATTGGTTACATTTATTTTCTTGGTTTCTTTTTAAAAAATGTTCACTCAGCTGGTGGCAGCATACCTTTAATCCCAGGCAGAGGCAGGTAGATCTCTGTGAGTTTGAGGCCAGCTTGGTCTAGAGTTAGTGAGTTGCAGGACAGACAGTACTACAAAGAGAGCCCCTATTTCTCTCCAAAAGAAAGTTCATTTTATTGCA